TATTGGTGATAGAGTGTTCTTTTAAAATAAAAGTAAGCCAATTTAAAGAAAAAAATAGTAAGCCTATTACGGTAAAGAAGTGCATCATGGCAAAAATCTCATAGGATATACAAAAATGACTTAAGTTTGGGGAATACTGGGCCAGGACTTTCAGAATTCGGAAGCATAACTTCATCCCCAGTTCCTGGTAACTATCTTTAAAATACAGTAGATCATCACTAAACATTAACCACTACCTCTAACATTTTCAAGATCCAAGTGCCATTTTAGGGAATATGTTGGGTAAAGTGACAGACCTTCGGTAAGCTAACTTTTTCTGAAAAAAGTTAGCATTGTTATCATATAAATGACCTTTTAAATTATTTCCTAGAGCTGCTGTGGAAGAAATCAACTTCAAAAGAGGATATGATCATAAATTTTTCAACTAGATTGTGTGGAATAATGTCTTATAAACTAAAGTTCAGGAGCAATAGAAGAAAGTTTACAATGCATTCTTTGCAAATCACCACATTACTCTTTACCTTTGACGTCATGGTACATTTTAAGAAAGGGTAGACCAGAGCAGCTCTAACTAGAGGAGAGCTAGCACCATCTGTTGGGGAGTGAGTTGCCAGCACAAGAGAGATTCACTGTCAGGTGGCTTCATTAATCCTCAATTTGTTTCTTCAAAATACTTTTCATCGCACAGATTGCAAGACATTCACACATAGCCAAGTACAAGTTAATTTTCAATCAGTTCTTGTGCTCCAAGTTGACAGTTAAAAACAAAATTAGTTCAGGAGCACCTGAAAGGCTCAGTCAGTTGAGCATCCAACTCTTGATTCTGGCTCAGGTCATGATCCCAGAGTCATGGGATCAAACCCTATGTCAGGGTCCCCAGACTCCCTGCTGAGCGTGGAGCCTAATTACGATTCTCTCTTTCCCTCTGCCCCTCTCCCTTGCTCATGTTCATTCTCTCTCTCAAATTAGAGAGAGACAGACAAAGAGTAATGCTGCAACAAATGCCCTTTTTAAAAAAAAAACTAGTTCATTAATCTGATTAAGATACACCAGTCTTTCATGATTTGACTCCTTAGTTACAGACCTGATAATTAACCTGTTTTGATCCATTTAAGAAGCGGAAGAAAAATTAGTTATATTATATAGCCACATACACTACAGGATTGCTTCAAAATAAAAGATGTTGCCTGGTCTCATAAACCAGTCTTGGCATCTTTCGGTCATTGATGGTAATTAGAAATTTGAATTTCAAACTTTACTAGTAATCCAGAAACAGTGTCATATACTTTCAAACTTATCCATAAAATCTGCCATTGAAATTGAGAGGGTTGTGTTTCTCCTGTCTACCATTTGGAATAGATGCTCCAAAGTCACAAAAAGAGGAGAGATATCCAGCTAAGATAGCCCACTGCCTTAGAGGGCAGGTAGGTGGAGAATGACAGCAAGTCCTAAGTGCTCAGATTCTAAATGACAAGTTAGCTATCGGCAATCTCCTCCAGAGACAGGGCTCAAGAGTAAACATTAGAAATAAGTTCTTTGTGCCTCTATTTTAAACATAACTTATAGATTACTGATTTTGAAGACTTGCTCAGCAAGACAAATTTTAACAAGTTAAAAAAAGATTCTTAATTTTTCTTACTATTTTCTTTATGGAAGTGTGATTTCAGTGAAAAGTTTAAAATCTGTTTACTTTTGAAAAGTGAGATAAAGAAATGTTTGTATCTAAACTGGAAATAACTTTATCGACTTTCCTAAAATATTTTCCAGTTGAAGTCTGTCTCTTATGGGGAAAAATCATAGATCATAACTTTTATTTATTTTACTTATTTTTAGTGCTCACTTCGACAGCACACATACTATTTATTTATATTGAGATATAATTGACATATTATACTGTACGAGTTTAAGGTGCACAACAGTGTTGATTTGTATACTACAAGATGTAGTACACCTCTGCATACTGCAAGATGATTACTACTGTATCATTCACTAACACCTCCATGCTGTCACATAATTATTATTTTTTTGTGGTGAGGATAGACTGACATTTTTTAAATGTATTAAATGGAGGGCCACCTGGGTGGCTCAGTCAGTTAAGCATCAACTTTGGCTCAGGTCATGATCTCGCGGTTCATGAACTTGGTTCGTGAGTTCGAGCCCCACATGGGGCTTGCTGCTGTCAGCGCAGAGCCCCCTTAGGATCCTCTGTCCCCTTCTCTCTGCCACTCCCTGGCTTGCACTGTCTCAAAAATAAATAAACAAAAAAACCCCACAATAAAATGTATTAAATGGAAAGCAGTAGTTACTGCAAAAAACCCCAGTATATTAAACTCTGCTATGAAAGAGGGACAATAGTTATTAAACAATGGTCAGCTTTTGCCAGTGGTATACTCCTTGGGAATTCTCTGGCAATTTAGAGAGAACATTAACTCTCCCAAGCCTGTAGGATACCATTGGTAAAGAAAGCAATGATTGATTTACTGAATGGCACCTAGCTAAATTCTAGGACTTAGGGTAAATATGTAAATGTTTGTGAGTCTAGTGACAGGCAGGGTATTTAGTCTTGACTTAAGCCTTTTCCCCACTGCTTTAAGAAGGCAAAGTACAGTTTCAACAGTTACTCATCACAGCTGGTTTGAGGACCTGGTCAAGACACTGGCTAAGCCTACTGTTGTATAACCTTCTTTCATTGTCCGTTCTTGACCATGTCCCTCGTTGGGCCTTCCAACTAGAAAACAGCTTACTGACACTTCTTTACACTTCATATTCAGAAACAGGAAGTGCATACCTTTTTATGTACATAATTATGGCTCCACAACTAAATTAATTTATTAAATAGTGTACACATTTAAGGTGTGCAACATGATGATTTGAGATATATACACAGTGAAATAAATACTACAGTCAAGCTATTTAACACATCCATCTCCTTACAGTTACCATTTCCACAATTTACTTTAAATCAATTCTAGCTACTTTCAAAGTTCAAGTTTCTAACTGAAACTTTTATAGTTTAAAATCCTTTCTTCAGATACTTCTAGCAATAGGAACAACAACAACAACAAAAACCCACTCCTCGTGCACTGTAAGACTTCACATACTCCTACAAAAGCTTTTTTTCAAACTGCAAAGAGCTTTCTAAGGCTTTTCCAATTTTATTTTATTTTTATTATTTTTTAAAAAAATGTTTATTTTTGAGAGAAAGAGAGAAAGAGTGTGAGCAAGGGGGGTTGCAGAGAGAGAGAGGGAGACACAGAATCCAAAGGAGGCTCTAGGCTCTGAGCTGTTGGCACTGAGCCTGACACTGGGCTCAAACAAACTGTGAACCACGAGATCATAGTCTGAGCGGAAGTCGGATGCTTAACTGACTGGGCCATCCAGGTGCCCCAGGCATTTCCAATTTTAAAAAGGATTTTAAGGGGCGCCTGGGTGGCGCAGTCGGTTGAGCGTCCGACTTCAGCCAGGTCACGATCTCGCGGTCCGTGGGTTCGAGCCCCGCGTCAGGCTCTGGGCTGATGGCTCAGAGCCTGGAGCCTGTTTCCAATTCTGTGTCTCCCTCTCTCTCTGCCCCTCGCCCGTTCATGCTCTGTCTCTCTCTGTCCCAGGGATGAATAGACGTTGAAAAAAAAAAAAAAAGGATTTTAAAAATAATAATCTGACAGTATCAAAGGTAAGAAGAAGAAAGTAAAATTCAGAGTATAATGCCTCCACTCAGAAAAAAATCCTATTTACATCTGGGCACATAAATACATATATTTTTAACTAAGTAAATTCACAGTTTACATGGAGTTTTTACCCTACTTAATATGTCAGGCAATAGGTTTATTAATGACTCATTTCGCACAAAATCAAGTCTCTTTTCCCCACAAGGTCAGTGTAATGGGTTGAATGGTGGCCCCAGAAAAGGTATGTCCAAGCCCTAATTCCCATATATGACCTCATTTGTAAAAACAGGTCTTTGTAGCTACAATTAAGGATCCTGACATGAGATAAACCTGGATTATCTGGGTGGGCACCAAATCCAATGACAAGTTTTCTTATAAGACAGAAGAGGAGAAGGTCATGTGAAGATGGAGGCAGAGACTGGAAATATGCAGCCTCAAGCCAAGGAATGCCTGCAGGCACCGGAGACTGACTAGAAGAAGCAAGGAAGGATTCTCCCCTAGAACCTTTAGAGAAAGTGTGGTCCTATTAACACCATGATTTTACACCTCTGACCTCCAGAACTGTGAGAGAATAAATTTCTCTGTCTTTTTTAAAGATTTTATTTTTAAGTAAATCTCTACACCCAATGTGGGACTGAACTCACAACCCTGAGATCAAGAGTTGCATGCTCCACCGACTGAGCCAGCCAGATGCCCCATAAATTTCTCTTGTTGTAAACAACTGAATCAGAGGTAACTTGTTATGACAGCCCTAGGAAACCAATATAGTCAGCATTCCAAACTTCCCTACTATAAACCAGGTCTGCTCCCCAGCCTCACTTTCCTGTTCTTCAGCTTTTTGCTTGTTTGCCTCCTATCATTCCTATATTGCCTCAAAGTCACTGCATATGCTGTTTTCAGTGCATGGATTGCTCTTCTTCAGTCTTGAAATACCTGCCCAAGACTTCGGGTAAAAATTCAGTAACACTCTAGTCCTGTTTGCCAACCACTATAAGGTCCCCTCTCCTTCAGCATAGAGCTCTTACCACAGCCCTTGTCATGGTCTATGTCTTTATTAGTTTTTAGATTCTCCCTCCCTACCAAATTGTAAGCTCTATGAGACTAGGAACGCTGACCACACCTCCTCATCCCTTTTATATTCCGTGTAGTCCTGTGCCTACTATGCCAAAGTAATTCTTTTTTAAATGAATGGCCACTGTTCCAGAAGCGGTTCTAGACCTTGGGAAACTCTCACAGCCTTTGAGTCTGAGCTGTGTAGGGTCACCCTATTATTTATCCTCCAAAATCTACCACTTTTGAGAATAAAAAGGAGTGCTATCAATAATTATAAGTTACCTGGGGGTGCCCGGATGGCTCAGTGGGAAGAGTGCATGACTCTTGATCTCGGGGTCTTGAGTTCGAGCCCCATGCTGGGTGTAGAGATTACTAAATAAACAGAAACGTATAAAAATAATAATTAACAAGTTACCTTGTTACAGTGCTGGGTAATACGCTGTGCCAATGATAAGAGTAAACCTGAAAGCAGAAGTGTAACTAGAAAGGGCTGGGCTACATTTTGGAGCAAGGGAAGGAGGATACTTTAAATTTGCTTAATCACCAGGGCGCCTGAGTGGCTCAGTCGGTTGGGGAACCAACTTCACTCAGGTCATGATCTCACAGATCTTGAGTTCAAGCCCCCTATTGGGCTCTGTGCTGACAGCTTAGAGCCTGGAGCCTGCTTCGGATTCTGTCTCTCTCTCTCTCTCTCTCTCTGCACACCTCCCCCCGCCCCCCCCCCTCGTCTGTCTCTCTCCTTCCGGAGAAAATAAAAATTAAAAAAAAATTTTAATTTGCTTAATTGCCACTGCCTTTTCATTGCTTTCTTCTACATCACGTCCTCATTTGTTCGTTTATTGTTGCACCCTCTCTCTACAATAAGGGTTGGGACTTGGCCTGTAGTGTTGCTATATCCTACACCTAACACATTCCTGGTGCATAGTAGGCACTCAGCAAACATCTAAATGAATGTATCCACAGCTGAATAGTGTGCCCTAAGTGAAGAATCAAAACACAAACAAAACCCCGAATCCTCACAATTTTAAAGCCTTATTAGGCTCAGGGCTAAAGGAACCGTAGGCGGAACTAGTGCCAAGGCTTGGGCTGAGGATGTAGGGATGAAGGCCCCACGGGCCATCCGCTGTTCAGCAGTTGAACTCTACCTTCACGACCACCCACTCCGACGACTCCCAACACTCTCTCTCCGGATCCTCTATCCTCCGCCTCAGTTTCAGCTCCTAGGACCCCGCTGGCCTCCGCCCTCCTGACACTCTCTGACCCCAAGCGCCCCCTTTCCAGACCCCTCGGACTCCAGCCTCCAAGCTCCCCTCCTTCCCGGATCCCCGCGTACCTCGGCACCGCCCCATCCCCAGATCTCCTCGGAACCTGGGACCCTTCCACACCGCCCCCTCCCAGATCCTCTCTTGCGCCGCCCCTTTTCTTCTCAGATTCCCTCGGTCTGCGGGACCCCGCGCCGTCTTCTCCCCGGATCTCTTCGGACCCCGGGACTCCCGCACAGCCCCCTCCCCGGACCTTGGCGGACCCCAGCACCGCCCCCTCCTCGGATTCCCTGGATCTTCAGGACCCCGCGCCTCCCCCTCCCCGGATCCCCTCGGCTCGGGCTCCGCCCCCGCGCGGTCTGCACCGACAAGCTCGCGCCGCGCAGCGCCCCCCCGCCCCGCGCCCGCCTCTGCGGCTGCGCGCTCGCGGGGCCGAGGCCGAGGGGAGGGGGTCGCGCCGGGGGCCGGCGGAGCTGCTGTGGCGGCAGCGGCGACTGCGAGAAACGGAGCGAGCCTGGCGGCCGCGGGCAGGCCCAAAGGCAACGGAGGAAGCGGCCATGTCGCGCTACACGAGGCCCCCCAACACCTCCCTGTTCGTCAGGAACGTCGCAGACGCCACCAGGTGAGCGGCGGCTGCGGCCGCAGGTTGGCGCGCGGGGGAGGGGCCGGGTAACGGCAGCGTCGCGGAGCCGGGTCGCGGCCCCCGGCTGTGCCCGGCGCCTGCCCGGCCTCTGGCTGGGCCTGTGCTTTCCGCGGAGGCGCCCTTCCCGGGAGCGGTGCGAACCCTCGGGCTGCTCCAGGCCGGGGCGGGACTCGCGCCTCCCCTCTCCCGGCCGGCGTTCCGCCCCGGCTCAGCGCACCCCCGGGGCCGGGCCCCGCGCCCGGGAGATCGGTGCCCATCCTCTGCTTGAGGACCCGCGGCGCGCAGGCTTCTGCTTTCCCTGTAGCCAGGGTGCCTCCCCGCCCCTGGCCGAGAGTGTTTTCCCTCGGGCCAGTGCCTGCGATTCGACTCCTTTGTCGCCGTGCCCCGATAAAGCTGCGCGTCTTGTGTCCTAGATGAAGAGGAATTGGGGATGGTGAGAACGTATTATAAAATAATGCGTAGTACCTTGGGCCTTACTCTTTCCGTTCTGAGTGTGGTCTACTTACAAGGGATGCTGGTTACATTTTGCTGCACAATACAAAGGATGGCTTCAGTGAAAGAGATTTATGTTTTTCTATAAAGTTCAGAGTGCAGTGTAAACACCCATGATAACGGTTTGGATAGACTTCCCTGGTCCAGTGAGATGCTCTCGGTCCACACATCCCCCTCCCCGCCTTGAGAATTCTTGCCTACATAGTGCTTAAACATAAGTATTAAGGAATGACCTCTTCATCATAAAGCACTTTCTCCCTTAACAGGAGCCAGAGGGAATGAATGATAGAGGGTGGGATAGGGGCATAAATAGACGTTTCCATTTCACTGGTTTTACCTAATTTATTTGCCGCTCAACCTTTTTAGGTATGCAGTATCATCTTTATAATACACAAGGAAAACCTGAAGCTTAAGAGTTTTAATGATTTAACTGGGGCTTAATGGCTTCAGATATTCAAATATTGGAGCCCTTGACTCCAGAGCCATCTGGAGTAATCATTGTCGTTTACCTTTGAGGAGTAAATGTTCAGTTTTTATTTGATCCCTACTATTATGTATGTCACAATTATAGAGTGTGGGTTAATATACTTTAATGACATCTAAAAGATGCGTGTGTTTATATTTCTCCTCTCAACCTGTTTATCAATACATAGAAAACAAATATTTATAATTTGGGTAGAGTAAAAAAAAAAAAATGCCACAGTTAAAGACCACCTGAATACTAAATAAGCATCTAGTCTTTCTAGTGTGTCTACAAAAAAGAGAGAGAGAGGTTTCCAATTCCAGTAGCCACAGGGGCTAGCCAGGGTAATATGAATGAGTAAAGTTGTTGGGTTATAAGGCACAATAGGATGGTGTGGATTGTAGCAAATAGAAAAGAACTCATGCCATATAAAGGGGATGGCAACTGGTAATACTAGCTGCAGCTAATGACTACATAGACATTTGGACTTGTTGCCACAAAGTCCTAATTTTCTAAAGAAACAAACCTGTGTTTGTGTAAACTCTGTTTCAAAATGCTGGCATTTATTAAATTGAATTATATGAGATTCCTGTTTTTGTAGATTTAAAAGCTGTAAAATATTGGCAGTTTTATGTTTCAGCACACCTTAAGGCCAAATAAAACACATCACATGACACATGTTTTCTGATCTAGATAATCACCATGAGTAATCAAGACTGAAAATTGAGATTTATTGATTTCTTTTTCCAGTTTTTTCACTTTTTAGTACTGCCACTGGGGGCAATCATCTAGATTTGTATTAATGGAATAATAATCACTGACATTTGTTGAGTATTCACTATGTGTTAAACACTGTACTAAACATTTTGCATATATTATCTTACTAGATTTTCCCAATAACCCTGTAATGTATGTTCTTTATTAATCCCATTTCACAGATTAGAAACTGAGGCTTGGAGAAATTAAGTTTCTTACCTAAAATTGCCCAGCTGCTGAGTAGTTTTGTGAAGGTAGAATCATTACGTGTAACCTATATTAAAAGCTTTTTTGTACAGGGTGGCATGCAGTGCAAGTTAACTGGTAATGTGGCAACTATAACAAAGCCAAATTTTATTTAAAATACTTCTTTGTGCCCCTCCCATGTGTGCGCTCTCTCTCTCTCTCTCTCTCTCTCTCTCTCACACACACACACACACACACACACACACACACACACACACACAAAATAAATAATACAAACTTTTAAAAAATTTTAAAAAGGGGTACCTAGGTGACTCATTTGGTTAAGCATCCCTCTTTTGACTTCAGCTCAGGTCATGATCTCACGGTTCGTGAGTTCAGGCCCCACATTGGGCTCTGTGCTGACAGTGCAAAGCCTGCTTGGGATTGTCTCTCTCTCCCTCTCTCTCCCTCTCCCGTGTGCTCTCTCTCACACAAAATAAATAAACTTAAAAAAAATTTTTTTAAATGCTTCTTTGCAGTAGCCATTTTAATATGTGCCATAAAGCACAAGACATTAAAAGGTATTATGGCTTAGCTTAAATTTTTTTTGGAATGAAATTGAGTATCAAAACTAAAGAAAGATTTGGGGCGGTTGGGTGGCTCAGTTGGTTAGGTGACCGACTTCGGCTCAGGTCATGATCTCACAGTTTGTGAGTTCGAGCTCTGTGTCGGGCTCTGTGCTGACAGCTCAGAGCCTGGAGCCTGCTTCAGATTCTGTGTCTCCTTCTCTCTCTGCCCCTCCCCTGCTCACGCTCTGTGTCTCTCTGTCTCTCAGTAATAAATAAACGTTAAAAAAAAAAAAAACTAAAGAAAGAAAAATACATTTTAGGGGTGCTTGGTTAGCATAATCAGTGGGGCATGTGACTCTTGATCTCACGGTTATAGGTTTGAGTCTCGCGTTGGGTGTAGAGATTACTTTAAAAAAAAATTTTTAAATACATTTCATGCTGTTTTAATTTGTATTATTTTTCTTTTCACTGGTGAAACAAGATCTGGTTCAGGAAGAATATTACTTTTAATATCTTTGCTTTTGCACTATGTAGAAGAATAATTTTTTTTAAATGTCAGATATAGTTTTCTAATGGAACAAAGTAATGTCCAAATCCCAAATATAACATTCTCATTTTGATGCATAACATCATGTTAGGTTGGGAAGCAACCGTCAAGTACCTCGTTTGACATAATTAGTAGCATTCTTTGGTTACAGTGTGTATGAGACTATATTGATATTGATGGTGATACAGAAAAAGCATTAAACAGAATTCAGCAAGATTCATGAGAAAAAGTGTCAGCAAACTGGAATAGAAGGGAACTTCCCCAGCCCAGTAAAGGGTACCTATGAAAAGCCTATAACTAACAAGATACTTAATGGTAAAAGCCGAATGTTTTCCCCCTAAGATCAAAACAAGCCAAACATGCCCACTCTTACAACCTCAATTCATCATTTTGTTGCAGGCCCTAACCAGTGTAACAAGGGAAGAAAAATAAATAAAAAACATAAAAATTATAAAGATAGAAGCAAAACTTGTCCCTATTCTTAGGTGACATGTTTATGTAAACCTTAAGTAATGAGTTAGTAAGTTATCAGAATACCAGATAAACTTATGAAAAATCTATTTCTATATATTAGCAGTAAATAGTTGAAAATGAAAATTTTAAAACAATTTCATTTGCCTTAGTATCAAAAAACAGACTTAGAAATAAGCTTAACAAGAACAACAACAAAACATGTAATAAAAACCTTTACACAAAAAACTACAATATAGTGCCAAGAGAAAGAAGACAACATAAATTGATATACCATGTTCTTGGATTCGAAAACAAAATGCTAAGTTATCAGTTCTCCCCAAACTGATTATATTATAGATTCAAGACATTCCTGATCAGCCAGAGGCACCTGGCTGGCTCAGTCAGAATGTGCAACTCTTGATGTTGGGATTGTGAATTCAAGCCCCATGTTGGATGTAGAGATTACTAAAAAAAATAATAAATAAATTTGAAAAATACATGAAATAGGAACTGACAATTCTAAAATATATTGATATGGAAAGGATCTAGACTAGCCAAAATAATCTAGAAAAAGATCACTGAAGTTGGAAGACTTACCTGACATAAGACCTACTAGAAATATATAGTAATCAAGACAGTGTGATATTGGCCTAAGGATGGACAAATAGATTAATAGAACAGAATAGAGAGTCCATAAATAATCCATACTTACAGAGTCAGCTGATGTTTAACAAAGGTACCAGTGGAAAAAGGAAAAAGGAAAATCTTTTCAACAAATGGACAGTGCATACTGGGGAAAATGAACTGCAGCCTCTACTTCACATCACAATTTGAGCTGGATCATCAATTGAAATGGAAAAGATAACAAAATAAAGCTTTTAGAAGAAAACATAGAAGAATGTCTTTATGACCTGGGGATAGGCAAAGATTTCTTATAGGGCAAAGAAAGCAATTACCATAAAAGAAAAAAGAATATTGAAAAATTAGATTTCTCTAATTTAAAATTCTTGTTCATTAAGAAATGCTATTGGGGCACCTGGGTGGCTCAGTCGGTTAAGCGGCCGACTTCGACTCAGGTCATGATCTCACGGTCCATGAGTTCGAGCCCCACATCGGGCTCTGCTGACAGCTCAGAGCCCGGAGCCTGTTTCAGATTCTGTGTCTCCCTCTCTCTGACCCTCCCCCGTTCATGCTCTGTCTCTCCCTGTCTCAAAAATAAATAAAAATGTTAAAAAAAAATTTTTTTTTTTTTAAAAAGAAATGCTATTAAGAGAGTAAATAGCCATGCTACAGACTGAGAGAAAATATTCACAAAACATACACAAAGCAATACAGAGGACTTTTTTTCAGAATATGTAAAGAACTTTTACAACTCAATAATAAAAGAGACAAACATTAAAAATGGGCAGAAAGCTCCAACAGACCCTTCACAAGGAAAATTAGCACATGAAAAAGTGCTTGAGATCATTTGTGATTTGGAAGTGCAAATTAAAACCACAGTGAGAGGGCTCCTGGGTGGCTCAGTTGGTTAAGTATCCAACTTTATTCAGGCTCAGGTCATGATCTCACTGTTAGTGAGATCAAGCCCCATGTAGGGCTCTGTGCTGACAGCGACCAAGTCTGCTTGGGATCCTCTCTCCCTCTTTCTTCCCCTTCCCCTTGCTCTTCTCTCTCAAGATAAATAAACATTAAACTGAAAAAAACCACCACAGTGAGATTCCACTTAACTCCCACTTCAATGGCTAAGATAAAAAACAAAAATCTGACAACCTAGAAAGTGCTAACAAAGATTAGCCTAACTGAAGCTCATACATTGTGGGTGGGAGTATAAAATGGCACAGCCACTTTGCAGGACTGTGGCAGTTTCATAAAAATTACAGTACATAAAAATTACACATCCTCTTTAACCCAGAAATACTGCTGGTAGGTATTAACAGGAAACAACTGACCCATAACACATGAAAATATGTTGCACCTAACTGGTTGTTAGGTAAATTAAAATTAAAACATTAAGATACCCATTCACTTTATATGCTTCAGGATGACAAGAATTAAAAATGTTAATGAGAGGTGGAGCAGTGGAATTCTTACGTAGGTTTTGAGGAGTATAGATTGATTTGGTCACTTTGGAGAACATGTAGTTCACTTCATGTAGTTCAGTAGAAGCTGAAGATCAGCGTGCTCTCCGGCCCACCAGTTGCATTGTGATGCATCCCAGGAATCTAGCAGAGCTCTGCATGGCACTTGTATCATAACATATGCTGCAGCATAGTTTGCCGTTTAAAAAACAGATAGCATCTTAAATGTTTATCCACAGAAAGATGAATAAGTAAATTGTGATTTATTGATAATACCAATACAGAGTTAAAATGAGTGAACTAGGGCTACATAGAGAAATTTCAAGGGAGGAGAAGGAGTAAAATTATATAAATAGTCTGATACCATTTATATGAAGTTTGACATATACAAAAACACGTAATTAGGGATATATTAATTTACAGTAAAAATACAAAGTTATGCAGAGGAATAATAAACACCAATGATTGTCTCTAAGATAGAATAATACATCTTGTTTCTAAAAAAATTACTGAAAATGATGACAGATATTGAGATATAATAAATCTTGGTGGATACATAAGTGTTTATTGTATTCTCTATTTTCTGAATGTCAAAATAGATGACACCAAAAATACAAAAATAAATGAGAGCAAAACAACAGCTAATAGCTGTGGCAGTGGTGACAATGGGAGCCAGCTCTTTTGGAATTTTGGCTTCTTCAGATTTCTGTCACCCTTGGCTTCTGGGATTCCAAGCCTCCGTGACACACATTGCCCCAACCTCCATTACACCATCTAGGATCCTTTTCCTGTCAGGCACTCACATTTGTTGAAGGGATTGGTTGCCTCAGAAAATTCATTTGAAGTCTAGCTTTGCTGCTGGCTATATATGTACCTCTGGGCAAGGTAACTTCTCTCATTCTCAGTCTCCTTGACTATTAAATGGTAACTCAATATTTTGAGTGCCTACTTTGTGCCAAGCAACAATGCTAGGTACACTGGTGAAGACACCTGCTTTAAAAGGGATTCTCAACCCTGATTCTCAGAATTGCCTGTGAAACCCTTAAAAAAACTAAACCTACCTGGGGCCCACCAGGGGAAGTACTAATTGTGTCCAAGGTTAATGCATCAGGCTGGAGTACCTGTTTTTATAACATCTCCTTCACAAATGATTCTAATACTCAGGAATGGCTGAGAGTCATTACCCTGTTGTCTTGTGTTCTCCATCACAAGGCTGGCAGCAGGAATGTTGTTCTCCATCACATTGCTACAGGCTGGCCAGAGTAGGTGCTCAGTAAGTATTTGTTGAATGAGTAAATGAAAGAAAGACATTGTCACTACCCTCCAAAGATAATAGTTTCAGGGAAGGCAGACAATTAAACATTTTATAATAAGTATTAAATGAAAAAAAAGTACAATAAAGGATGTCATGTCAGTTGCACTGTGTGGTGAATTCACATCTCTAGCTTTAATCACTGACTTTTAGTCTTGAAAATAAATTTATTTAATAATAATTTTCAGTTTACAGAACTCTTTTTTTTAAAGATTTTATTTTCTTTTTTTGAGTGATCTCTACACCCAACATCGGGCTCGAACCCACAACCCCGAGATCAAGAGTTACATGCTCTACCTACTGAGCCAGCCAGGCCCCCTGTTTACAGAGCTCTTACGGATGTTCGGCCATCACCTCAAATCCAGCATTTCTTTTGCCTCTCCTCCCTCATCAATCTAACTTCTCTTTTCCAGCTATCTAATTTCTGTCACGGACACTGTCTTTCTTCCATTTGCCCAAGCTAGCAGCTTTGCAGTCATCTTGAGTCTTCTTTCTGCATAATATGTTTTGAAGGACTCTTATTTCTTCTGGGCCATGTTTTGCGCTCATAGCTTGATGCTGAATCTCTAAGATCTCCATGAGGCGGTACAGTGCAGTGATTCAGAACACAGACGAGTGTCAGGTTGTGGATGTTTGATTCGAGTTCTATCATATGCTGGCTTGCTTACCTTAGGCGAATTCATCTGTCTGTGCCCTCACCTTTAAACAACCATAAAATTGTTAGCATTAAGGTGAACAGTAGCTGGATTGTAAATGTACTCTAATTGTCAGCTATAAATGCTAAGTATTCTGTCTCTTCAGTTTAAGTTGTTGCTCCATGAAGACAAATAAGCTAAATATTCCTTTGGTGTCCCCCTTTTAGTACCTGTCACAGTAGAAGGCATATAGGAGGTTTAAAAATACTTATCAAATTTAAGAATATGGTAGTTATTTTGCTTTATGTTTAATAGTAAAACAGTTTTCTTTAAAGCCTGAGAAATAATTTTAGGACTTCTTTAGCAGCTAATCCTTGCCATCTGAAAACAAAATTAACATAAACGTGAAATTATAGTGAGGCAAATGAATGTGTTCTTAATGAAATAGTTAACAGAACTTTTTATATTGACAATTGAAATCTCTTTTAATAAAAGTCACTTTCAAAGATGGATAATAACTTTCCTTGGTCATTTTTTCCCCAATCCGAACAGCCACCTGGAGTGCTTATAAAAATACAGATTTCCAGCCCCTAATACAGATCTTTTAAATCAGAATCTCTACAAGTGAGGCCTGAGGATTTGCTTTCTTTTTTCCTCCTTCCTAAACCCTGGGTGATTGTTACAACAATTTTAGATAATACTGGTCTAGATAATACTTTCTTTTGAAGGTTTCAACTGGATTTCCGTAGGCAAAATTTTTTAATCCAGCTATTCATATTTCTTTGCCTTATTTCTAAAACACTTCAGGCCTGAGGACTTGCGCCGTGAGTTTGGTCGCTATGGCCCTATAGTAGACGTTTACATTCCACTTGACTTCTACACCCGCCGCCCAAGAGGATTTGCTTATGTTCAATATCCTTTGTTTTACTGTGTGCATGTGAATGTACTGTATATCTGTGCAGATATGCATGTGTATTCAGGAGCATATGTTATGAGATTAATATTGCCTAATTAAATGTGTTTATTTCTCTATCTCAGAAAATCTAAAGCAGTCCACAGTAGCTGGCAAGCACCCCCCAGTTTGAACCAACCTGTTAGCTAGAATCCAAGCATAAACCAAGCAGGCAAGAAAAAAGGCACCTAAAGTTCAAGCATCAAGGAGTAAAGAGGGAGGGTGGACACAGATATAAAGACCTGGAAGAGGGGAAGTCTTTATCAAGCAAAAGACAAAGCCAACACCAGGTTGAGACTTCGGCTTTCCTACATTTATTCAGAGTTCCAGAGTCAAAGCCAAGTCTGATTTTGTTGGTTCTGCGTCTCTTATAAAGTCCATCTTGCAAGCCTTAAAGAGTAAAGGTCAAGGTTCAAGATCAAGTGACATTGAGGTAATTGCCAAAGTCTCATTTTGTATTGCGTTTCTTGAGCTTTTTCTGTTTTCTATTTTTAAAAAATTAAACCAGTGAACAACCTCCTGAAAAACAGCTAGTTGTTTTCTATAGTTTATTTCCATTTTAGTTAGGTTTAATATATAATTTACGTAGGTAAGGAAGTTTAGTGGGGTATTACAAACCAATATATGTAACTCCAGATGTTCACAGATTACTTTGTGTTTTTTTTATAATTATATCCCAAGTAATAAAAACATAAAAGTATTTTAAAATAGTAGGTTCAAAAGTAAATATCATTTTCAAAGGTGTAATATTTTAAGTTACATGTATCTTTGCAGTTTTGTTTATAGTAAGTAATTTTTCCGAAATGTCATAATCAAAAAGCCTTTTAGTGAAAGAGTAATTATAATTTCAGAATAAAGGCTTCTGTATGCTGAAAAACCTGATGAATCTTTTACCTGAAAGAAGGGAGAGCCTAAACAATTTTTTTTTTTAATCCTAGCCAGTGTTGGGACTTATTTTTTTCTCATAACATGTTCTTTCACATTATAAATGCATACTGCAGCTACACTAATGTGTGCATTAGAAGTGTAGTATGATTTAGTTACACTAAATCATAAGGGGACATTTTGTTTTCATAATAAAAGTGAAATTTCTGATTATATATATATATATAAGATGTGAGCTTAATAACTTGGAGTTGATTTTTCCTATTAATTTCATGTCACATGTAAATAATTCGATAAAAATAATATTTTTACTTGATATCTGACGTTCAAAGTATCCTTAACAGCTAGTCATATTTGAAGATGTTCGCGATGCTGAAGATGCTCTTTATAACCTCAATAGAAAGTGGGTATGTGGCCGTCAAATTGAAATACAGTTTGCACAAGGTGATCGAAAAAGTAAGTGTGACTAAACATTAGATCTTGTTTATTCAGCAGAATGAGTTTTAGCTCTGACAGATTTTTTTTTTTTTATTTTAAATTCTTTCAGAAAAGAATACTATTTGAATAGCTGTTACTGAGGTTTTCAGGTAATAAATTATTTCGTATTCTAGCACCAGGCCAAATGAAATCAAAAGAACGTCACCCTTGTTCTCCAAGTGATCATAGGCGGTCAAGAAGCCCCAGCCAAAGGAGAACTCGAAGTAGAAGCTCTTCATGGGGAAGAAATAGGAGACGATCTGATAGCCTTAAAGAGTGAGTACAAAATACAGGAGGATTGAAAACTTAATTTTCTACTTTTTCTGGAAAACATTTTAAAGGGTTTTCAAAAACAGGCCTCAGAATCATTTTGTATAATATACATAAAGGTCAACTTTTTTAAAAACGATATGCTCCTCTCTATTTGAAGTGTATTGTTATTTAACTTGGGTATATTGAGTACCTTCCAGTGTTTTTATTTCATGACAGACTTAATTTTAAGCTTTTTAAATAGAAAAGTAATATGTACTGAAGAAAAAACAAAAAATTTTAAAATGTATACTTGACATATAAAGTGGAATTAAAAAAAATAAAATTTTCCTAACTGAACAGAATAATTAAGAATTTAAGTTCGGGATGACTAAAAACTCATAAGAAATATAATCACTTGTGACAGGAGATTGAACTTAAAAGTAATGTAAATCAATATATTTATAAAAGGTAAATTATTTTCAAAAACAAATTATAAGTATGGTACTATTCTAAGAAGACATGAAAATAGTAAGTTTTTTCAGAAAAAGATATTTGCAGGTTATTTATATTGCTAGCCAGGACTTTGTTTCTGTTAGAATAATAGTAAATCACTAATAATAAAAAATAATTAAAAAAATAGTAAAACACAATGAAAATTAATTAACTTGAAGTTATTTAAATATTAACTGAAATTGTATTAGCATTCTTAAATTATTAAATAATTGTATTTATCTTGAGTTTTAGTGCTGTAATTTTTTCATAGACATGTGGAATTTTAAGGTAAATTTTCTTTAAGAATGATCAGCATAGGAAGAAGGGGCGCCTGGGTGGCGCAGTCGGTTAGGCGTCCGACTTCAGCCAGGTCACGATCTCGCGGTCCGGGAGTTCGAGCCCCGCGTCAGGCTCTGGGCTGATGGCTCAGAACCTGGACCCTGTTTCCGATTCTGTGTCTCCCTCTCTCTCTGCCCCTCCCCCATTCATGCTCTGTCTCTCTCTGTCCCAAAAATAAATAAACGTTGAAAAAAAAAAAAAAAAAAAGAATGATCAGCATTGGCGTTCAGTCAGTGGAACATGCAACTCTTGCTCTTGATCTTGGGGTCATAAGTTTGAGCCTCATGTTGGGTGTAGAGTTTACTTTTTTTTTTTTTTTAATGTTTATTTATTTTTGGAGGAGAGAGAGACAGAACATGAATGGGGGAAGAGCAGAGAGAGGGAGACACAGAATCCCAAGCAGGGTCCATGTCAGCACAGAGCCTGACACGGGGCTCGAACCCACAAACCATGAGATCATGACCTGAGCCGGAGTCGGACGCTTAATCGACTGAGCCACCCAGGTGCCAAGTGTAGAGTTTACTTTAAAAAAAAAAAAAAAAAAGAGGCGCCTGGGTAGCTCAGTCGGTTAAGCATCTGACTTCAGCTTAGGCCATGATCTCATGGTCCATGAGTTTGAGCCCTGCATCCAGCTCTGTGCTGACAGCTCGGAGCCTGGAGTCTGCTTCAGATTCTGTGTCTTCCTCTCTCTCTGGCCCTCCCCTGCTCATCCTTGTCTCTCTCTCTCAAAGATAAATAAACGTTTAAAAAATGTAAAAAAAATGATCAGCATTTATACGAATATCCTTTTTTCTGTGAGAAATAAGAGCGCTCCTGTGCCACATGTAGTACACCTAAACTCTATATAGGCCCATATAACTTCAGATCAAAGATCACCAGGGCTGCTCACTTTCACTCTGATCCCTCCGTTCCTCAACTCCAAGAGCCTAGCCAAGAAAAAGCGCAGTGTATGGTATATGTACCAGAGCTAGAGAGTTAATCTTTGCCTCAGGTTCCCAGATTTAAAAACAAGACTGTGGAGTGACCTGGCTCCAATCCCTCCAGCCAAGTGGAAGTCAAAGATAGGAAGTGAGAACTACATCTACCTTCTATGAGTTTTTAATATCCAGGAATCCTGATTGCTAGGAAATATGGCCCTGTCAGGGCTCTAGAATCTTACGTATCAGTTCAGTACCTCTCCTTGTGTGTGAACAAATATGTTGATTTGGCCCATCCTTAAGGAGGCATGAAGCAGGGAGGAAGCCCTAAGCACCTTTTATAATCCAGGAAAACCCAGTCAGGATTGAGCCATTACCGAGATTGGTGAAGAAATATTTAGAAACAGTCCTATCTGGAACATGATCTCTTTTATCATATTTTCTCTGATAGTATAAGAATATAAAACCTCCTTTGCATCTATGGAGAACAGTCAAGTTTGTCCGTGGCTAAGGGAAAGCCATTTTCCCATTGATTGATTATTTGAGATTTAGCTCTGGATGTATAGTTTCTATATTTAAAATACAAAATTATATTAATAGAACTTAAAACATAGTGAAAGCAAATCAAGATTTTAAAAAACTTTTACATGCCTTATATATAGGAAAGCCACACTGATAACAGTGGTACTGCTTCTGACTTTACGGAGGATATAAGGGAGTAATGTTCAACAGTTTATATTACTATGAATTTTATATTTATATACTATACACATATAGATTATATATGTATACATATAACTATACATATGTAGAAACTATACATATACATTTTAGCATAAGTTTAGAATGATACAGGTGGTATGTATAAAATGAATGAATTATTTACTTATTTTTAAATGAATGATGTTTATATCAAAGATTAAAGGAGGTATAATATTTTGCCTAATGCAACACTGTTGTAACTTAATAATATCCATTGGCCCTTGTGAAGAAGACAAGTTTGTGAAAGAAAAAAGAAAAGTAAATTGCCCATTTTATTCATTAGGAATGTCAGTTGTTTCCCAAATGTATTAAAGCCATAGTTAACCAGTTTTTCTCCTGATTAATCAAAAAACGGCAAATATTCACATCATTTTATGCCTTCTAGTAAAAGTAAAGTATAACACTTAGCTGGAGAAAATTTAACAATGTCTATTGGGGCGCCTGGGTGGTTTAGTTGTTTGAGTGTCTGACTTCGGTCAGGTCATAATCTCCCAGTTCGTGGGTTTGAGCCCCACATAGGGCTCACTGCTGTCATTGCAAAGCCTGCTTCGGATCCTTTGTCCCCTTTTTTCTCTGTCCCTCCCCCACTTGTGCTCTCAGTCTTAAATATAAATAAAACATTTAAAAACTAGGTTATAGTTTAAAAAAAAATGTCCATCAATTATCCCAAATCATCATGAAGTATCAGGAATAGAAAGAACCACATCTTGTAACAATGCTGTTTTGCTTTGTACTCATCATAAGATCATTGCTTGATCTCTCTGACCTCAGTTTTTTCCATTTGTAAAATTATAGTATAAAGAATGCAAATCTTACCTAGTTCTCATGACATTCATAAGGATCAGATTTCGTGTGTGCATATGTGCATGCGTATGAATGAAGTAGTGTATGTATAAGCCTAACATATACTATAAGTAAATACAGTATAAGTGCTATTATCTTAGACTAAAAAGAGGTTTCTTATTTTGTCTTTAGTGGATATGGATAAAAAAACAAACTAGTGGGGCACCTGGGTGGCTCAGTCACTTGAGTCTTATTCTTGATTTCAGCTCAGGTCTTGCTCTCACGATTTGTGAGTTCGATTTGTGAGTTCGAGCCCCACATTGGGCTCTGCGCTCTCGGCATGGAACCTGCTTTCGATCCTCTGTCTCCCTCTCTCTGCCCTTCCCTTACTCACATTCTTTCTCTCCAAAATAAACAAACACTTAAAATTATTCTATCAAGAATGTTACTTGTTAAATGCATTAAGAAGCCGACTGGGAAAGCTATCACTTTGTTAACAGTTTTACTTAAAGTAATAAAACCTTTGTTATATAAGCAAAAGAAAAAAAATTACTCTATCGTTTCTTGATATTTATAGTCAGCTGTCAGTCTTAATGTTGCTCCTTTACAGGTAATGTATCTTATTCTCCAGGGTTTACTGAGCTGCTTGAAATTGTGAGTTGATGCTTTTCATTAGTTTGGGAAAATATTAGGCTATTATCTCTTCAAATATGGCTTCTGCCTCATCCATTTTTTCTTTTTGGCTGTGTGACTGTGTAGTACATATCTCTTAGGCTTTGTTCTGGATTTCTTAAAATTCCTTTTCTCTCATTGTGTTTCAGTATATATGTTTTTCTAATAATCTGTTTTATAGTTCAGTTCACTTTTTCTTCTGTATATAGATTGCTGTTAAATTTATCTAGTTAGTGACTTTTACATTTCAGATATATATTTTCAGCTCTTAAAATGTCCATTTGTTTCTTTCTACAGATTCCAATATTCTGTTGAATTTCTCCATTTTTTAATGTTTTGCCTGTCTTCTTATTTTCTTCAACGTTTATTTATTTTTGGGACAGAGAGAGACAGAGCATGAACGGGGGAGGGGCAGAGAGAGAGGGAGACACAGAATCGGAAACAGGCTCCAGGCTCTGAGCCATCAGCCCAGAGCCTGACGCGGGGCTCAAACTCACGGACCGCGAGATCGTGACCTGGCTGAAGTCGGACGCCCAACCGACTGCGCCACCCAGGCGCCCCATGTCTTCTTATTTTCTTGAACACATCGGTCATAGTCATTTTTAAAAATTCCTGTCTGATTAATGCCAATATCCAAATTACTTTGGGTCTGGGTTTTTTTGTTTTTGTTTTTGTCTTGTATTTCCTTAGCTTTTAGTCATTTTTATCTATTTTTGACATATTTCATGGATTTCTTTATTGGATGTTGAACATCGTTGATGAAAACTTGCAGTGCTTTGGATGATATCCTCCAAAGGAAGTTTCTTCTAGTAGGTGGAGGAGTATTGGCAGATCACCTTGATCTTTTCAAGGCTTGTTTGAGGCATTGTTAAGACTGATCGGTAGGATATGGCCCTTCTGGGTTCTTAATTGAAAGCCTGGGTTGTTACTCAAGGCTCTTTGACCTTTTGGGGGTTGAACTCCAGCCTCTCTCCCCAGCACTGTGTGTCTGATAGAATTTCATCTTAATTCTTGAATCTTCCAACTGCTATTTTTCTTGACCTCTAGGAGTCTCATCCTTTATGTGCACAGCTTAAAAGATGGCCAGTGACTTGAAGAGAATTTGTAGGCAAATTTTAGGAGATTTCTTGTCTGCCATTTCCTCATCTCTGAGATTTTGCCTCTTTAGTCCCAACCATTTTGGTAGTCCTGAATGCTAATTTGTCTGTTAATATGCTTAGTCAAATAGCCATTTTCTGTTTGGGTTCAGTTCCACCATGCCAACATTTGGAACATGGTCTTTGTAAAAGAGCCATGGTTTGTAACCCCTCAAGTTCTGCTAGGGTTGGTTGGTTATTCTCTAATACCTTTGAACAGTTGTTTTATAAATGTTGTTTAGCTTCTTTATATAGCTGTTTTCCGTGGGAAGATTAGTCTAATACAAGTTGCTCTATCATGGTGGGATTCAAAAGTCCTGCATTTGGTTTTGGTTTTGGTTTTTATAAGCATTATTTAATAAACTTTAAATAGTTACTTTCTCTCTTTTTTTTTAATCTTTTTTTCCCTTCAGATTTTCATACCTCTTAGGAGTTGTATAACCCAGATTTATTATGCAGGGCATTTTTCAGAACTGACCTGTATCATAAGATAAATCTAGCAAAGTAAAAATCTTTTGGTCATACATTCTAGTATAACAAATATTACAGACTTGGTACTTACATTTGAACTAAAAGCATGCATAGCAAAATTAAAATTGTTTCTTTTAGTTTATCCAGTGAAATCATAACTAATATTATGTAAAATGTATACATTCCTGAAGTTGCTGTTTCTAAACCTATTAAATGTTTTTGTGTGAAATATATACTGTTAACATTATGGATATTTGCAGGTCTCGACACAGGCGATTTTCTTATAGCCAATCTAAATCTCGCTCCAAATCACTACCAAGGCGGTCTACCTCAGCAAGGCAGTCAAGAACTCCAAGAAGGAATTCTGGTTCTAGAGGACGGTCAAGGTCCAAGTCGTTACCAAAAAGATCCAAGTCAATAGGAAAATCACAATCAAGTTCACCTCAAAAGCAGACTAGCTCAGGAACCAAATCAAGATCACATGGAAGACATTCTGACTCCATAGCAAGATCCCCTTGTAAATCTCCCAAGGGGTATACCAATTCTGAAGCTAAAGCACAAACAGCAAAACACTCTCATTTTCGATCACATTCCAGATCTCGGAGTTATCATCATAAAAACAGCTGGTGAACAGCAGCAGAAGAGTGCTACATAGTCTTGAATATAAGTCATTAAACCTCTCATTATGCTAAATAAAAATTCTTCAAGGCTTATAGAAAATGTGAGTTACTTTGGGCATGTGCAACAAATAAAGTCTCTCTAGCTTTGGGTTAATAAAGATTTGGTCTCAATTTAAAGGGCCCATACCACAAATTATGATGTGTCTGATGTCACCATTTATGGACCATTTTTTGTTTACCTTGTGGCAGAATGGTACTTTTCAAAAGAAATGGGTAAAATGAAATTAATATAGAAAATTCTACTTGGATATTAAGTATTAGTAATACTGATACATTTTACATAAAGATTTTTTACTTTAAAGCACTTTTACTTTCATGTAAAAAATAACGACTGTATAATTGCAAAGGGAAGACTTAAACTATTTGACACCTTATGTCTCTGTTGTATCTTCTCTTTAAACTTGGACCAATTCCTAGTGGCTGTTAGTTCATATTACAAAATTCTGACATTCCTAAAAGAAGAATCTATATAGAGATCAAGAATTCAAAAGATACATTCTCTCCTGAGCTCAAAAAAGCTTTTATTTTTACCATGTGGAACAGTATAAAGTTGACATTAAATTACATCCTGTACTGTGTTCATTCACTTCAGAAATATCAAAACATATAAAAAATACTGAATTTTGAATGGTTGGAGACTACTCTAAAACTTGTATACAGCACTCATAATCCAAAAATACTCATATTAAGCCTTATACATTTGAAGAGTAGTGGTACATTTTGTATAAAAATCATATTTTATAACATTATTTCTACATACCTACTTTTCATCTACTGAATTTCTTCTTAGAGCTCTAGCTCAAGACTTTAAATTGTGTAGAATAAGTCCTATTATTTTTGAAAGTGTTTAGTAACTTGTAGTAAGGAATTCAAGACTGCATCCTCTATAAGCTTTGTGGTATTCAGATTTACTTTACACTGCCCTTCATTTTTATAAACCAAATAACTTTATTATTGCTTTTGTAGTTGTTAAAACTGAGAATTTCTTTAAAAATGTGTTTGTAGTTTATGTTTTTCAGAGGGTTTTGGTAGTATTTGTGATAAAATGGTTTTGCATATGATTATTATAGGGAATATATTTATAGAGTTCTACTTGTGTACTTTGTTGAATTATATTGAAAATTAAAAGTTCTCAGTCCATACAGTTAATATTTGTATCTAGAGTGCATAAGAAAAATCTGTCTTCTATTTTTGGCGTATAGAAGCCAGTGTTGCTTCTATTTTTTTTTTTTTTAATACAAATTCCATTTTTCTTTGCGTTTTAGACCCTATGTAAGAAACAGCTTTACAAAATAATATGCTGGTGATATTTGGACAAGTACCATAAATTCATGTATACTGTACAGTACTTTCTGGATACATTTTCTCTAATCATAGTAGAATTTGTTTCAAAACTGCAACTCTTTGAAGTGTTCAGCTGTAATAAAATTTAGTTATAAAATACATGGCACTGTTGAAAATCTAAAGGATAGTCCAAAGAAAGACAAATATTAATAGTAATGTTTTATATTTTCTGAATAAATGTTTGGGTTTATCCACACACATACGCAATCGTTTGAAATGCTAAGTAAGAATTGATTATAGTGTCTTTACTTTTCATTTAATTATATCTTAGTAAAAAGTTAATACAGCAATTTCTTTTTTCTTGTTTTTATTTTTTTCATATGGCAGTGTTTCTGAACATGCTTATCCTTTGATTTACCTCTGATTTGGTTTTCCATTGTAATCTTTAGGCTTCTTAGGAGGATCCTATTTGATTTGATGGAAAAACTGGAATAATAGTTCAGACTTTTTTGAGCATTGACTTGACACTGCTTTATAAGTTTTATATGATTCACTCATAATCACAACAGCTGTATGAGATAAATACCACTGCAGATAAGGAAAGAGAGATGCAGAGAGGTTCAGTGATTGCATTAGGTCACACAGCTATTAGATTTTGGGAGTCGTTGGTGGCTGGACTCCACACTGCCTCTCCCTGTTATGCTTTTTGGAAGAAGTCTTTGACAGATAATATGCTAAACTAAGATAATGTTTAGAGGGAAAGGAGAAAATAGAATTAGGAAAATAAATGATTATAAGTGAAAATGGGTTCTGTGTCTTAGTGGAAATTGACACTTGTGCTAGTTCCTTGAGAAATTGTCTTCTGGGTATATCTCTATTCAGGATTCACTTTGGTTATAGCATTGTTTCTTGAACCATTTAAGGGAGGATACTTATGGGTGAGATTGTTAATAAAGCAAATGTTTTACACATCTGTGATCATTTTCTTTAACGATAATATATTTACTCAGGTACTTCTCAAGTTTAGCATAGGGGCACTATCTACATTTGTTCAGGATCGGAGGATAAGTTAATGTCAAAGAATATAAAACTGGCCACTACAACTGCTTGTTTTCTTTCTCCTCATGAATAATAATTTCCATATAGGAGCTGATATTTTGTAGCTGCAAACAGTGGAATATGGCAGATTTTTTATTTGGACCCTAGGGTAAACTTTGTCACTGGGCTAGCTTACTTTTAAATGAAAATAGGGGCGCCTGGGTGGCGCAGTCGGTTAAGCGTCCGACTTCAGCCAGGTCACGATCTCGCGGTCCGTGAGTTCGAGCCCCGCATCGGGCTCTGGGCTGATGGCTCAGAGCCTGGAGCCTGTTTCCGATTCTGAGTCTCCCTCTCTCTCTGCTCCTCCCCCGTTCATGCTCTGTCTCTCTCTGTCCCAAAAATAAAGAAACGTTGAAAAAAAATTTTTTTTAATGAAAATAAATTCAAGACTTTATTATTTGTAATGTTTACTTGAGATACAACTATTCTAAGACATACTATTATATTACAAATAAGGATGTCTGCCTTTATTCTCATCCCTTTTTTGCAAAAGGCAAAATTAGTAAAAATGTAAAGGAAGTATTTAGAAATACTTTTACACTTCCTCTAAACTATATTAAAATTGTAATTTCTTAGAATTAAAAATTAAGTATTTTCCAAACAGAATACTTGGAGTATTTGTATGTAGATAAATATATGCTACTTAGGGGCGCTTGGCTGGGTCAGTTGGTAGAGAATGTGACTCTTGATCTTGGGGTGGTGAGTTCAAGCCCCAGGTTTAGGGGCTTTGAATATATATGTAAACTCTACCCTCAACATGATACTTAGTAACTTAAGCAGTACGGTCTGGTGCAGAGATGTTAATTTGGCATCGTAGAACCAAAGCTTTAGGTCTATCCCCTGTAGATTTTCAAACAAGCCAATGACTCCCAAGAATTTAAGGACCAGTGGTTCAGTGAGATAGGGATTTTGGACTCATAACTTATCTACAGATGACTAGAAGACACTTTCAAGTATTACATGAAGATTATACACCTTATCATCTAAATCACTCCCTTGATGAATGGGGGTATTTATGATCATATCGTGAACTCTGGCATTGGTTTATGAGGTCAGTTTAGGCCCTCTGGAAAATGTATGTCTTGTATACCTATAAAGTTAAGCAAATTGAATATAAAGATAATTGAATCAATAAGCCTTTTTAGAAATGTATTCTCTGACAGAAGTGTTAGATATTCCAGGTTGATTCAACTTATCTCAAGTTAATACAATAATGATGTACCATTTTTTTTTTTTTTACTTAAAGGAATCCTGTGGAAAAAAAGATTGAAATAGGAAACAGACTATTATACCGCATCAGTAGTATTTTCCCTCCAAAATTATAATGTTTTTATTCTGTTTAGAGTAAAGGGATATATGAGTCTTACATTCTAGGAATATACTGCAACTGTGAACTTAAGAAAGAAATAGTACCAACTTGTGAGTAGATAGATGGTTACTGTTTTATAAAAGGTGATTTTAAGTATATGGTTCATTTAATTTAAAACACCATATCCAACCTACATGTTTATAGTAAATAGATTACAAGTTAAAATCGAGGATATCTTGGGGTACCTGGGTGGCTCGGTTGGTTGAACATCCAATCTTGATTTCGGCTCAGGTCATGATCCCAGGGTTGTGGGATCAAGCCCTGCATTGGGCTCTTTCCTGAGTGTGGAGCCTTAAGATTTTCTCTCTCAAAAAAGAAAGTTTTTAAAAAAGTGTAATTGGGGGGCGCCTGGGTGGCTCAGTTGGTTAAGTGCCCAACTTTGGCTCAGGTCGTGATCTCACGGTTCGTGAGTTCGAGCCCCGCGTCGGGCTCTGTGTTGATAGCTCGGAGCCTGGAGCATGCTTCGGATTCTGTGTCTCCCTCTATCTCTGCCCCTCCCCACTCTCATGCTCTCTCTGTCAAAAATAAACGTTAAAAAAATTTTTTTTTAAAGTGTAATTGGAACACAAAGCAAAATTACTACTCTAGTTTATGAGTGTACTTCTATGAACTAAATGCCTAAATCCTATGCACTTTTTAGAAAGGGTATAGTAGAGTTAGATTGAGGAAAACCAGAATTCTTTGCTATGATGATCACTTGTTTCCTAAAGAAATAACTACATTCTAGTTTTCTTAGCTTATCCTAATACTATAGACTTAAAATGCTGTTGACTTTAATTTCAAGAAATCTCAGTATAAAATAGTCTTCCAAGCCCCAAGTGATAGCCAACTTCTTTTAATAGTAAGTTAATATTAAGTAAATAAATTTTAATGGCTTTTTTGAGGGGAAGGGATTAAGAATCATTTCTATTACATTGGTGAGGCAGTATCTACTTTGTGAAAATAATACTTTACAAGTTGAGAACAGTAGTCTGTTGAAGACCTTTTCAAAATTGACATAAGCTATACAACTGGTCAGACTCTTCTGGGCAGTATTCTATATTTTTAAAATATTTATTTACTTACAGAGTGCATGCAATCAGGGGAGGGGCAGAGAGTGAGAGAGGAGAGAGAAAATCCCAAGCAGGCTCCTCGCTGTCAGCACAGAGCCCCACATGGGGCTTGATCGCATGAACTGTGAGATCAAGACCTGAGTCGAAATCAAGAGTGGATGCTTAATTGACTGAGCCATCCAGGCACCCTATAGGCAATCTTATTATTTTAAAAATGAGAAGGATTGTTATTTAAGATTACTTTAACACATTGTGAAATATTTATATAATTTCAAAAGAACCTTGCAGAAAAGCATTGATACTCCTCATTGTCACTAAACCTTCAAATTTTGGCCTTAAAATATTAAATGTAGCTGAATTAAGTATACTAATGTTCTGGTTTTGTTAGGGTATTCTGTACAATTTTTAATGGGTATATAAAGTCGAACCATTTTTGGCATTGTTTTATACTTTGTAATTCTCTCAACATATAATCTACTAAATGAGTTTTTTTAAAAAATACCACTTAAAAACATGATGAAAATTTTTTATTCTAAAATATCTCATGAAAAGTACTTCATACAGAGCTTTAAGCTGCCTGTTAGAGGTCAAATATAACTGATGCTCTTTAAGAGGTTTTGTTTGACTGAAAAGGTGGCAGTTTTTGTCTGAAACATGTCTGTCATTGAAACTGGAATTGTATCTCTTAAGGAATAATTTTAAATACTTTTAGCTTTCCATTGGCACCGCTGGTATTAATTCAGCATTAAAGGTTTCAAGAGTAGGAACCAACCAAGAGTTAAGCGTTTTACACTCCCTTGCCCTCCTGCTCCCAAGTCACTTCAATGCTAACCAGCCCTTCAGCCATCTCCTTTCTTCTCTTTTGGGAGTTGTACATATTTTCTTAAAGTGGTTACACTGTAGATACTTTAACTTTGCTCTCAAACCATGGACAGTGATAAGTCCCCTTCATAATCTTTATGTAGTTTCCATCTACCTCTTCATCCTCCCTTAATTAAACTTTCTTCAAGCATTAACATTTATGTCAATATTAACATTAATGTCAACTGTCAGATTTCCCACATAAGCCAATGCTTAAATACATTATCCTCTCTCTAATCTTTCAGTTCTTATTTACAAAGGCTTTGGTGTTTGTCATTAACTAGAGTTGTTCTTTTAGAAGTGTTATAACCAACTAACCAGACTATTTGAAAGTGCAAAGAAAAAATAACCAGAGATGTACAGTTTACAACCTCAAAGATTATTTGTCCTGTATGGTACATGTAAGCTTTTAAAATTATTGGCATATTACTCAACTTACATATAATGTTGGAATGAACTAGTAAAGCAGCCTTCATGTTGCCCAATTCTATTAACATTTTGTTACAAAACTTAAGTAAAAAAATAATTCTGCAGTGAATACCCGTATACCAACTACCTAAATTCTACAATTAACAGTAGATTGTACTTGCTTACTATATATATTACATATATACAGTATATCCATCTATTTTCCAATTATGTTGAATTTAATGGTAAAATTTTGAAAACTGGAGTGTTCATAGAGTATTTCAGTTAGCTAAAAAATGATCAGAAAACGGTCGAATAACTTTATAAACCTAATTCTTCTTTGGAAATTCAGGTTGTGGTCTCAAGCATCAGATTACAGGAACTTAATAGAACACAGATGATTAAGGAATGCACAATGAGTAGGACCTTTGGAAAGCTAATGGAAAAGGGCAATCCGAGTGTTGATATTAACCCTTTCATTCTAAAATTCGAGAGCAGTAAATGATCGCTTAAAGAGTAAGGATAATTTCAACCATTGATAACCCTTATTTTATAGCAAGATGATCCCTTGTAATTGTAGATCTCCAAGGTTTTGATAGGAAGAACCAAAGCTCTCTATGATTCTATATTGCTAAGTACAGTATATAATAAAGATCTTCCTGTTTAAAGATCTTACTGTTGGGGCACCTGGCTGGCTCAGTCGGAGCACACAACTCTTGGTTTTGGGGTTGAGTTCAAGCCCTATGTTGGGTATGAAGACTACTTAAAAATAAAACCTTAAAAGAAAAAAAAGATCTTACTGTAGAAGGCAATTCTGAGTTCAATTTCAATAAGACATTTGCATGCTGGAAATAATCAAAAGTCATCAAAATGTTTTCTACGTGCCATACCCTCTCCAAGACTCCAGACTGCTAAGAACCCATTTGTAATTTGGTTTTGGCAACTAATCAAGATAATTTCTAATTTTAGAATAAACTATTTGTAATAATTTAGGAGTAACTATGGAGGAGTTTCATTAGTATCTTTTATCTTTACAACCAGATATAAAATACCACATATTTTCTGCCACTTTATGTATTAGACTAGAAAAATTACTTCCCTGAATCCTTTCTTATCCATAAAGGCTATTATTGTGTGAATCACTAAAGAAATGAAGTATTTTCATTATTATCATCAATGTCTTTTAAGTTATTACATGTTCAAGATACATGATCTAATTAAATGGAGCTTGAATATACCATATAGCTTCCTTTGACAAAGGTGCATATAATTTTCCATGAAGGTTGCTTCTGCCAATCCTCCCATTTTTTCTGTTCCTACCATTACTTAATTCAGAGACTGGAATTAATGCCACAATGCATGATAAATTATTCCTTGAACAGAAAGAACTTTACATTTGTGTCACCGATTCTACACTAAGGGAACATTACTATAAATTCTGCTTTAGAAAATAAATTCTAAGGGGAGCCTGGTGGCTCAGTCGGTTAAGTGTCCAACTCTTGGTTTTGGCTCAGGACATCATCCTGGGGTCATGGGATTGAGGCCCGCATTAGGCACGAAGCCTGCTCAAGATCCTCCCTCTCATTCTCTCTCTCTCCCTCAAAACAAAACAATCAAACAAAAAAGATAAAATGAATTCTAAGATCTCAACAATGGACCCTCAGTAAACGCAACCAACACCGTTTATAAATCTTAAACTGTAATTCTATTTGAGATTATAGCATGAGATTAAACTTGATAAATACAGTTCCTGGGTGTTAGGAACATTACTTCTACATCTCAGCGTATTTAATTTAGAATTCCAAGATAATTGCAAAGGATATGAAAAGTAACAATCTGAAAACTGTCAGAGATTAATTCAAGACAACCTAATCCAAGAAATTTAAAGAAAAGAGATTTAGTTGAAGCATAAAATAGATTATCCATAACTCTTAAAAATCCACCCCATACCTACAAAGAAGCTTATCTAAAACTTTAAAGAAAGTTTCTTTCAAAGATTAAATTTGTGTTTATAAACAGCATTCTATAAAATGTACTCTCAAATTTCTGATTAAAAAGAAGTAGTTCCTGAATTATACATGATTTGCATGTACACACTTCTGCCATCTCATCTCAAAACATACTCTCTCCATTTGAAAATCATTGTAAAAAAAATTGTATTTGGTGATTTTTGGAAGATTTATGGATTCAGGAGAAAAAGGAGTACAAAAAAACAACTTTGAGGAGTTAGCTCAGGAATCGGATGCTTAGCAAGACAGGCCCGTGATTTTAAAACGTATTTAGTTCAGCAAATGTCTTTCAAAAATTTAATATATGGGAGGATGATGAAACCAACAGCCTTTCCATACCCAAGTATGTGTAGAAGCCATGGAAACTGGGGCGCCTTCCACCCTCTAAATAAAGGACAATGTATTCGGCAATATGATGGTCATTCGGAGATGGGAGATGCACCAAAAAGGGAAATAGAAGTATAAAATGTTAGGGGTGCCTGGCTGGCTCAGGAGGTAGAGCATGCAACTCTTGATGTTGGGGTCATGAGTTCTGAGCCCCACTTTGGGCCTAAAGATTACTTTTAAAATAATTTATAAGAGGGGCACGAGGGTGGCTCAGATGGTTAAACATCAGACTCTTGGTTTCGGCTCAGGTCATGATGTTGCAGTTTGTGAGTTTGAGCCCCATATTGGGCTCTGTGCTGACAGCGCAGAACCTGCTTGGGATGCTCTCTCTCCCTCTCTCTCTCTGCCCTTCCCCTGCTTGCTCGGTCTCTCTCAAAGTAAGTAAACTAAAAAAAATAAAATAAAATTATAAGGGGCACCTGGGTGGCTCAGTTGGTTAAGCATCTGATTCTTCTTGATTTCAGCTCAGGTCATGATCTCTGTGTTTGAGCCCTGCATGGGCTCTGTGCTGACAGTGCAGAGCCTCCTTGGGATTCTGTCTCCCTCTCTCTCTGCCTCTCCATGCCCCACCCCCCCTTGGCTCTCTATCTCTCAAAATAAAAATAAATCTTTAAAAATAAAATAAACTATAAAAGGTTGGTTTTACCCAGCTTGAAATCTCGGACTAACAAAAGAGAAGTAAACTTTATTATTTTCTCACTGCACCAAGTGGGCCCCCAATATCAGAATTCAGAACTTAAATTGGAAAACGGTTTCCTAACAGACTTTTACAGGTACGTAGAGAACCAACCAGCATTTAACACCATTCAGAGGCAATACCAACAAACCAATTTGCTATCATAGGTGAAGTTCAGAGTCCATGGGAGGCAGAAAGGGTGAGGTCAAGAGTACTGTTAAGTGTTAAGCCTTGTGAGGGAGAGGCTACAGGAAGACAAAATATTTCATATTTCAGTTCCATTTTCATGTTGTAATTAGTGCTTCTGTGCACTTACCAAAGCTATACTTTCTAGGCCTGAGCTATTTTCCACTTGCTGTGTATTTCCATGTGGCTATCCTAAACGCCCCTCAGAATTCAACATGCAAATCAAAATTACCTTCTATAATTCGGATCCCCCTCTAGAGTTCTCTAATTGCTAGTTTTAATCTCCCTAACTGCCCAATTTAAAAACTCTTTTCTGGGGCACCTGGGTGGCTCAGTGGGTTAAGCAACTGACTTAGGCTCAGGTCATGATCTCGCGGTTTGTGAGTTTGGGCCCCGCGTCGGGCTCTGTGCTGACAGCTCAGAGCCTGGAGCCTGCTTTGGATTCTGTCTCATTCTCTCTCTGCCCCTCCCCCACACTCTCACTCGCTCTCTCTCAAAAATGAATAAACGTTAAAAAAAAAACAAAAAACAACCCTGAAATAAATAAAAACTCTTTTCTTACCCTCCATGCAGTTGGTTAAGTCTTAATTCTAACTTCAAAACATCTCCCAAGTATAAGTCCATGCCTGGGTATTCCCTCTGATAATGTCCTTAAGCCCATTTCTTTTATTTTAAACTACTGACATATACTTTTTCCTCAAGCTTTTCCTTTCCAAGCTGTTCTCCATATTTTCACCCGTTTTCTTTTTAAAGCAGGAATCTCTTTCCCTTATTTTTTTTTTTCAACGTTTATTTATTTTTGGGAGAGAGACAGAGCATGAACGGGGGAGGGGCAGAGAGAGAGGGAGACACAGAATCGGAAACAGGCTCCAGGCTCCGAGCCATCAGCCCAGAGCCTGACGCGGGGCTCGAACTCACGGACCGCGAGATCGTGACCTGGCTGAAGTCGGACGCTTAACCGACTGCGCCACCCAGGCGCCCCTCTCTTTCCCTTATTTACCTTTGATGGCTCTGCCATGCCTGCAGAATAAAGTTGCAACTCTTTGGCATGACATTCAAGGCCCTTCAGGTTATTACCCCAGTACACCCTTCAATATATTGTATCTCCTTTCTCTGCAAGTCTTCCACATCTTTTTACACCACTGTCCATGCACTTTTACTCTGACAATTTTTCTTAACATGTCAAATACTATGTCAAATATCTTAAGGCCCAATTCAGTGCTGCTTCTAAGATACCAGATTCTGAAGTAGACAATCCCTACTCACCAGAATTAGTCACTACCTTCTGGTAATAATGACTTGTTTTCACCCCCTCAGGCATTTGTTGTTGTAGGGAAGGGGAATGCAACTTGTATTTTAGTTACATCTGTCATTTATTTCTTCCCCAGCCACCTGTAGTTAGCTTTCTGTTCTGCCATTTATCCTTGTATTATTTCCTGAACATACTTCACACGTAAGCCCCCGCACATTAAACTGTAGACATGCTGCTCAGAAATGTCACAAAGGAACTGAGAAATGTCAAACAAGGGGGGAAGGGGTGTTTTGAGACAGTTTTATTTTCCAAAAGACAGGGACTCTGTATTAGTTTCATTGTTAGAATTTTTATAATCTTATACAGAAATGTGTTATCAAAACTACAGGAATGAACCATTTTCTGGAATCAGACTGGGAGAGATGTCAGATCTAAGCCAACTCATTGGTTTCAATATTTGTAACACATTGCTAGAAAAAAAACCCCTAAAAACTAGTGACTAAATATTGAGGAAATTTTCAAACTATGATCAGAATTTCTAAAATTGATTTTCCAACTATTTGTGAAGGTATTTGCATCTATTTGAGCAGGAATGGCAGGAATGGAGATTCACACAAAATGTGAATGTCAAATAGAAGTTCCTTTGCATCTTTAAACCCTTCTTTCCCTTCCTTTCTAGAAGGGGTTGCTTGGTGTCTCCATTCACAATTTGCCTGCCTTTATGCTACCACTTGAAGGCCTCCTTAATCTCAAAAGCAGCCCTTTTTTGGATTCTTAAACCATTTAATATGGTTCTTTCTCCAACTATGCCTCTGGAGGAACCAGGAATAGGGCAGAGGTGGATGGCTTTGAGTCAGGACAACCCAAACCCTCCCTCAGACATCTAAATGCTTTGCTTTTGAGAAGATGGTGGGGGTTGAGGGACGACAAGGCATCCAAGAGTCTAGCCTATCTACCGCAGCAACAGCTCCTCACAATTTCACCCTGACTTGGGTGGGCTGCCAGTTGCCCTCTCCCAGATCCATTCTGGAGCCTGATGCTGAGGGGCACAGCACAGGGATAGGGCCTAGGTTTTGTTCCTTCTCATCGCCAAAAGTTGAGTTAGGGCTTTGAAAAGAGGGCAAGTAAAGACAAAAGCAAGTAATGTGGGTTTTAGCTAGCTTGATCATGTTCCAGGGAAAAGAAATACAAGTGGTTTTCCCCAAGTGTGGTATGACCTGACCCCATTTCACTTCCACATTTGTATGACACACAAGCTTTATACTAAAATAACGCGAAGGAAAGGGGTGATTACATAGTACAGTTGATCCCTGAACAACATGGGGGCTAGGGGTGCCAACTCCCATGCAGTCAAAAATGCACCTAACTTGGCTCCCCTAAGACTTAACTATTAATAGCCTACTGACCAGAAGCTTGGTAAGAGTCAGTTAACACATATTTTCTATGTATTACATATTGTATTCTTACAATAAAGTGAGCTCCAGGAAAAAAACAAAAACAAAAAAACATGTACAGTACTATACTATATTTACATATGTATTCATAAAAACTCATGGGTAAGTAGACTAGCACAGTTTAAACCCATGTTATTCAAAGGTCAACTGGATGCCTAAAAACCTGAATTCTGGTCCTAATAAAATGTCCATTATTTGCCTGATACATTCTAGTCTTTTAACTCACAAACCACATAAACCACCTTAAAATCTGTATTTTAACTTACAAACTACCTTTAAGTTTGAAAACAATGATTCCTGTCAACCTTCTAATAGTGCGATTTGGTCTTTTACCTTCTTTTTCCTTTATCTGCCTACAAGGACACTAAAATACTTAGCACCAAGATTAATGCAAACAAAAGTCCTATGGTGTTACTGTATCAACAGTATGTGCCACTTTATCAGTAGTAGGAGTTGAGTAGTATCAAATTGTATTCTTATCTAAAAGCAACTTCAGCAAAATACCTCACATCCAGGTATGCTCTATAGTGAAGTGCCACTGCATAGAACAATCTCCACTCACATATAAACCTTTCAGCCCTTTACAATGATGAGCCCCTTTACCAGGCTACTAGGTAAAAACTTAGGCCCAACGCTGGTGACTCTGAAGTGTTTGCTTTATATACCCACAAAACCAAGCAGTGACAGTAACATTGGAGGAAATGAGAACCCTCATGAATGGGCTTAATATTTCTACAAAAGGAGTCCAAGAAAGCACCCAAGCCCCTAGACTCCCATCTATGGACCATGAAGTGGGCTCTTAGACATTATCTGCTGGTGCCTTAATCTCAGACTTTCCGGCTAACTGGATTGAGAAGTAACTTTATATAAGCTACCCACACCTTCTACTGTCACAGCAGTCCGAAGAGACTAAGGCTGCGGAATACCATTTTACTATAACGTCAAAATTAACTTAAGTTTGCTAATACTTTTTCACAAGGTCAGCTGTAGTGTAATTCAGCCAACTTTACTCACTCTTCAAATTACAAAACCCATTACTTTATAATAACCTTTATAATAATCCTTTACCAGTGTTAACACTTCTTGAAAAAAAAATCTTAAAAAAACTTTTACAAGATTGAAATCTTACTGTTAGTTTTTCTAATGCATTTAATGCTAGCTATGTATAACATATAATAACAAAGTATAGCTTTCTCTACATACATGCAAGAATGAAGCATTTTATAGCCAGGGCCAAAGAATGGTTGGCTGGATTATGTACGAACTGTGTAAACAAGACTGCAGGCACTTCTGTTAACTAGTTCTCAGGTTTTGTGGTGGCTATGTAACAAGTTACCATACCCTCCTGGCACAGCTCATCAGTAACAGTGATTCTCAGGTTGTGTCCACACCACCCACTTTTGTATAGCCAGAGAGTCTCCCCTCCTGCATGAACCAAATGTGCAAGACCTAAGACTTTTCTTCAAAAGATAGTAGCACCTTATCTATTCCACCATAGATACCCTCTTAACACTCTTTTCCTGTCTAAGTATTGCCTAAAACTCAAACTACATAAGCCACTATATTTCTTTCAGCAAACTCTAGAATCCAAATCTCCACCTACTTTAACATCAATTACACTTCCTTTGGTTTAAGTACCACCATTCAATATCATAAACCAAACCAAGTGTCATCTTCTTTCATTGAAATTATATGGTAAGTCAAATGGTACTTTAGGAAACAGTTCATATATAAAAATATATTCTAAGTTATAAACTAACCAACTTTACTTTCGACAAGTTTCCATCGCAAAATGGGGAATTCCTCCCCTTAGAGGTAGTACGGTGAAATTATTGGACCCTCTAAATATCAGAAGGAGGAAGGACAATTATAATAATACTAAGACATTTAGCCAGTAAAATGGAAAGTTAAAAATCCATCTCCTAGTCACACATTCAAACATGAAAGTCACACACAAAGAATCAAGACTAGTATAAAAGGGGGGGCCAAATTATATTATTATTTAAAAATTTGATTACAACCAATTTTGTTGGCATTAAAATTAGAGGTATTTTAAATTTGAATGGATAAACCAAAACCCAGAAATTAAGTTTGGTAAAAATGGGAATAGGAGTTTTCCAGTAATTACAGATTAGAAGGCAAAAACCAATTTAGAGAAACAAACAAACCCCATGTTTACAATGATTGTGCCACAGATTTAAACTTCAGTAGTGCATTAGTAAACTGTTCACATTTAGATCTTCACCTTGAGATTAGACAGCTGTTTCTTTAAAAAAAATCTCAGTACCTTGTGCAAATAAATCGGTCTTCCATGTGCCTTAGCACACTTAAAATTTCTCCACTGTATATATACAAAACACCTACCATTTGGTAGGGCAAAATACATACTTTCATAACAAAACTATAATGTACCTCTCAAGTATGAACAATATACACATAATACATGGTATACAGTATTTACAAAATATAAAATATAATACAAGTTTTGTAATTTTTGAAACTCCTTTGCACTTGTATGTTACAAGGCAAATTTCCATTTCTGTACCAATTTTCTTTTCAAGAGTCCAGGGATTTTGGAAAAAAAATGTTTTACAGACATACTGCAATCTGAGATCTAAGTTTGAACTTTTAGGAGAGTTTTTAAGTGTACTGCCATCAACTCCCTATTTTGGTTGGAACTTTCAATAGTGCTTCCCATCCAGTGACTAGGAGGCTTTGGAAGAACACTAGGAGAAGGTGGATCACTAAACTTTGCCCCAGCATAATTTTCCTTTTGGTTCACTTCAGTTAGAAATGCGGATTTCTTCAAATGCATATTTTTAATGTTCTCAGTATTTTTAAAAGGCTTTTTTTCCTGCTTCTGAATTATATCAGATGAAACAGAATCCTGCCAAAAGTTATTTTCATTTCTTTTTGCAGAGGTGATCTTGGTTAGTGGTAAGTTATATTTGCTTTTCTGTCTGTTTATCTTTGGTTGTTCACACAAGTGTATACCATGAACAAGCTGGCCGTGGGGAATGGCAATTTTCTCCGATTTTCCCATCTTTGATTTTAAAACCTACAAAGACAAGGAACATAAAAGTGAATACAGTTCATGATAAAAATTAGTCACGAACCTCACAGCATGTATCTAGTATATTTTCTTCTCCTGGACTTTAGTTTCCTGACCTGACTAAATGTTTATGTGCTCACTGCACTTAAAAATAAGCACACATCTAAGTTTACTACTAAAAATATAATCACCACTGCCACCAATATGGAATGTAGGGAATCAGTTCTAAAATGTCAAAGGAAAAAAAAACCAGTAACCCCAAGTTCATCTTTCTGTAACTGTAAGAGTAATGAGGTCCCTTCCAAACATATGCAACCTCCTTTCTTTGACCAAAGTCAGAGGTTTTACAATACGATAATGCCAAGAGAAATTTTCACATGCTTTCATTTTGATTGGCTGAATCTGGTTGAAAATAAAAACTATGTTTAGAGATTACTATTTACCTTTTAGACAAATCCTTTTAAAATTATTGCAGAATAATTTGATTAGTAAGAACTGTATTTTAAGTGATTAAGTGTTTTGATAATGGCTAACACAGAAAAATTACCTCCCAACTTCTGAAAACAAAATTTCAAATATTTAAATATAAAAATTTAAATACTAATCACTACCTTTTCCAAGTATACATACTTATAGCAAATACATAATAGGAAAATTGCTTCCGCCTGCCCCCACTTCCTGGTTTAACTGCTTCAAGAAATTTGCGGCACCAGTTCTAATCACTTTCGTAATTCAAGTGATCCTCACAGAGAGCCACGACCCAATGGAAAAGTATACGGTAATTCATCAGGATCACTGCCCTTCCAACACTTGGAATATGGTAGGGTAGCGGGACACAAAAATAGAAAGCTGGGCACCAGGTAACATTCCGTGTCAGTAACTGCCAACAGCGTTCCCTGGTTTTAACAGTTCTATAAAAGAATATTACTGGTAACCAGGAAACAAGACGTACAAAAGCTCACTTTTACATTATTACTCATATTTCAGAGCCACGGAATTTTAAAACCGGAATCTAAGATAATTAAGTAATCACGGCGGTCAAATTTGACTTTTTTCCAAGGGTACAGCGAGAGAAACTACAAATCTCTCCAGTATTCTTCTAACAAATGGCTCTAACTTTTGATCCTAACCCAACACTACGGAAATTGGGTGGCATAACGCCAATTCATCTTATAACTTCTAAAATTTCATCATTCTGGACACAAGTAATAAAATTACCTTCCATTAATAAAGCCCAGTACAGCATAAAGTATATGTAAACAATTCCACTCATCTAATAGACTAGCAAGCAAATGTTATCGTTTCAAAGAGGCAAGAAATGCCACCGCTCCTGCCAACTTTTAAAGATAAAATTATAGCTAAGCAGGTCTGCCGGCGAGGGACACAGCCCCAGTTGGGCCGGCGCCGCACACGGGGCACCTCTCATCGCAAAAAAGCAAGCCAAACAGAATGGAGCCGCTTGTGGCCCACCAAGTCCCACAACCGGTCGGTGAAACAGTGCACGCGCACCGCCAACTAGTCTTGGAACTACCGACGGTCTGGGAGCCGAAAGCGGTCGCCCACCCTTTCCCCTACCACTGCCAGCCGGCCTCGCCTCCTTCATGAGCGCCGGAGCGCGGCGCACGTAGCGCGCGCTGACGTCAGCCTCCCGCGGGCCCCTTCCCTCCCCCACCCCACCGCGCGCCCGAATACCGAAACCCCCTGGAACGCAGCCAGCCTTCTAAATCGGGGCTGTTGCTGGGGCGCAGCCGCTCCTCTCATTGGCTGGTTTCCGGGAGCCAATCAGCAGCGCCAGCGCATGCCTCCCCCTCCCCCTTCTTCCCCGGGCTAGAACAGAGCGGGCGTCACGGAAACTTCCCTCCCGAGTAAACAGCCGCCCCTCACCCCGGCCCCCCCTCTTCCCGACCCCTCGGTGCAGGGCCCCAGATTCCAGAGCTCGGCCGGACCCATCGAAGGGCCGGAACTCCCCAACAGTCCCCAAGTCCCTCTCGCGGCCCTTACCTCTCTTCTGAATGAGGGTTGGCCGGGCACCGCGGGCGGCACCGGGCCAGGGAAAAGGCTCGCTTCCTCAGTTTGGGTTGCGGCCGCAGGACCCGGGGCCAAATTGGCGGCCTGGTCCGGGACTTCCTGCGCTCCGCTCGGGCCCGTCGCGGGGCTCCGACCGCCCTCGAGGCTCGGCCGGTGCTGCTGGTACTGATGGAAGCGGCTGGGCAGCTGCCCCGCCGGGCTGGCCCGCACCCTCTTCTTTCGCCGCTTCTTTGGTGCTGCCCGAGGGGTGCCTCCCGCCGTAGCTAGACTACAGTTGGACAGAGGTGCTGGGGCGCGAGGCTGCGGGGTCAGACAGGGACCGTCTCCCCCTAAGAAGTGAGGGAGGAAAAGGGTGGGAGGAAGTGCCCGGGGGTCCGGGATCCGGGGTAAAGGCGGCGGGGCCGTGGTCACCATCGGCAGGGCCCCGAAGTAACCGCGGGCGGAAAAGCCCAGGGGCGCAAGACGGCCACCCAGGACAAGTGGCTCCCGCTGTGGGACGGAGACGACGGTCATAGCTCTAGGAGGAAAGTGGCTCAGCAAGAAGAGAAGGAAGAAGTGAAGCCAGCGATCACAGGGCGGCGGCGGCGGCTGCTGCTAAGAGAGCCCGAGTGGAGCGCGGACCATGGTTCGGGCGGTGGCGGCGCAGCAACAAATAGCCTCAGCCTCAGCGCCGAGTGTTGTTATCAGAAGCTCCGCCCTGTGCCCGCCCACCTTCCTGCGAGAGCCCAATCAGAATGCGACGGAAGAGACCACGCCCCTCCGACTCTCCCTCCAACGCCTCCAACAGACACACACAAACAACCAGCTTGCTGCAGCCCCGCACAAAGAGCGCACATTGCGCAGGCGCTGCCAACGGGCTCTTTCGGGAAGAGTCGGTCCCGCGAACAATGAAGTTCCGTTTCAGCCCCACCTCCCCCACCCTTCTTTCTAGCCCCCGCACCTTGCCCCGAAGGCAGTGGTCGGATTGCTAGGTCTAGGCTGAATTGGGAAATGGGGATGGGGCGGGAGAAGAGTCGAGAAACATCAGGGCCACTAATGCCTCCTCAGCCACTGACCTTGGGAAGTATTTTTTATTTCAATCCCAACATTATTACATTTTTTTTTAAGATTTCAAAGAACGTTATAGGTATTTCGTACTTGGCAATCGGTCCACATTTAATTTATATTTGGCGAAGTGTGGCTTACGTTTTTTTCATTACTCAGGCTACCAATGCTGTTCATTAGCCAAGGTAACCAGAGTAAGAATTAAGGGAGTGACTTACTGATTGAAATTGGCCCCTTAGTATATAAAGAATTCCCCCATGAATACTTGAGCATTGGAAATATTACTGTCTTTATACCTGAAGGTTTGGGATCACGAAACGGTGCCTGACACTGGGGAGGAAGCAAAGAAGGAGGCTTGCGTCTCAAAGGAGAAAGTGAAACAGCTCTGCAACATAACTGTATTTTGCTAGCTGTGTGTTACGGAAATCTCACGCTCATCATCTCCCCTCACAGAGCTCACACACAAAAATTGTGGCTATTTATCAAGCACTTTTGTGCCAGAAACTGTTCTTTACATAAATTATGTCGTTCGAACCTCACGACAACGCTAAGGAATAGGTACTATATTTTAAACCCCTTTGTAGGAGAGGAAACCGGCTTAGAAAGGCAAAAGGTACTTGTCAAACATCATACAGTAAGTTAATAGCAGAATTTGAACTCCAGTCCAGGGATGGCAAGACCAAAGTTTTAACATCATCCATACTACCTGCCACACTAGATTGTAGGTTTTTAGACCACCACGATAATCTTACGCATCTCTGTATCCTCACAGCCTCTAGCCAGTATTTTTCAGCTTTGTAGTGCTTAATAAAGGTTTCGTGGCTGTTAACAAAGTTGGACAGAGGGAATATCTAAAATAATGCATCCAAAACTTTATTCGTATGGTTTAACCCCCTCATAAATTGAGGAAATCTGTATAAACTTTTCATATGACATTCCATAATTACTGATTGCTAGGTTTTATCATTTTTTGCTGGATTTTACTCATTTTTGTGTTTCCAACACGATGCATAGTAAGTGCTCATATTCACTGGATGAAAGGAAATAGTATACTTCCAGAGTTGTAAAAGATCCTACAGAACCTTTAATTCAAATCCACTGGTCTGCAAATTAACAATGGGTTCCAGATCGGGTGAGGAGAATGGCCTGGCAAAATTTGGTGGAGAAGAACAGGCAAAGATTACAGAGACTCTGGAATGATGTAATTTCTTCTTCTGTTTTTGTAAGAGTCTATACTTTTTCAAAGCACTTTTTCATCTAACTCATTTTATTCTTACCCCAATCCTTTAAAGTAGAATAGAGATAAGTTCTATTTTACCTATGATGTAAATGAAGCTCTAAAGATAAAATAACTTAGACCTAAGGGTCACAAAATGAGTCAGCAACTAAATCCCTTGAACTCTTAATGCTTAGTCCTCTTTTCACTATATCCCAAGGCCTAAGGTTTGGCTTTATCTGCGGGTAATATCACACTGTCCCAGGGAATAATTTACCCTCCAGGAGGCTGCTAACTGGTAGTCAGTTCATAGGGGCCCTTGATGGAGGACACCTATTTGTGTGTATCTCTTGGGTGAATGGTGGAGTTATTATGTGGTATGTAAGTTTATATTTTTGAGGTCTGAAGGGTAGGCCTCATCTAAGACCCTGGATTCTGTCCTTTAAGAAAGGTAGCCTTGCAGATGCAGCCACATGGGTGATGGGTGTTAAGATGGTGCCCACCATGAAGAGACAGGGAGCTGGATCACCAGAGAGAGCAATCCAGGTTTTGTAAACCAGATTATTGAATTTCATGTCACTCTTTGTGGATAGTTCCTATAGATCCTTAGCCTTTAGGAAAGCCTATTGTAATACTCAAACCTGTTTTCATCTGTGCTGTGTGATATAAAGGAAGAGGCTAGATGCTCTTGTCTGGGCCCAAAGGGCTAATCATGGAGGTAGCAAGACATTCCAAGCATAAAGCAAGTTTTGGGAGGACTCTCAGGGTTCTTGAAGACTTTTGTTCCAGTGCATGTGTTAGTTTTATTTTTAAGTCAACAGTTTCTCTAGAGAAAGTTTTGGGGTTTTTTGTTTGTTTGTTTTGTTTTGGTTTTTGTTTTGTTTTGTTTGTTTTTTTTTAAATAAATGATTGAGGGGTGCCTGGGTGGCTCAGTTGGTTGAAAGTCAGACTCTTGATTTCAGCTCCAGTCTTGATCTCAAGGTCATGAGTTCAAGTTCCACATTGGACTCCACACTGGGTGTGGAGCCTACTTTAAAAAAAAAAAAAGGTAAGCCAGTTATTAAAGAGCAGGGAAAAGAGTTAAAGCCATATGTGAAATAAGCAGTTTACCTGCATAAACACTTCAGAGCCCTCTGGGTTTCTCTGCTCTCTCTCCTGTCTACCTTTATCTTTTACATTTTATTTCTGTCCTCTCCCTTTCTCTGCCTTGAATATTATTGTTCTCTCCTCCTGCTCTTAGTGTTTTTCTTTCCCCCTTATTGTGGCTTTATTTCCATTTCTTCTACCTATCTATTGCTTAGATCTTAAATGTCTAAGGGACACTTGTGTGAAAAGAGGAACCCTCCAAGTTATACTTTGCATAAGCTCAAATTATTAATCTTTCATATCTGTGAAATAATATTCCTCTAACCACTGAACACAACCAGGAAATCAAAACATTTAAACTTAACAAGTGAAAATTTCTCTGACGTTTAAGCATTGATCACAAACCTTCTCAACATACTCTCAAGTTTAACTGGAATTATAAGGTTTAGGGGCACCTCAGTGGCTCACTTAAGCATCCGACTCTTGATTTCAGCTCAGATCATGATCTCATGGCTCATGAGATAGAGCCAGGTGTAGGGCTCTGTGCTGACAACATGGAGCCTGCTTGGGGTTCTCTCTCTCCCTCTCTCTCTGCCCCTTCCTCTCTCTCTCTCTTTTTCTCTCTCTTAAAATAAACAAATAAGCTTTAAGAAAAGAGTTATAAGGTTTATATTTAGAAGCAAACAATATGCACAAAATTTCACAATGACAAAATTGATACTTAAATTGCTACTAAAGTGCTATTACGACAGGTTGAAATTAATGTCTTCGTTATCCCTATACTTACCCTTTCTGAGGTGCCAGTCATTTTACCACATTCATTTTTTTTTTTTTTTAACGTTTATTTATTTTTGGGACAGAGAGAGACAGAGCATGAATGGGGGAGGGGCAGAGAGAGAGGGAGACACAGAATCGGAAACAGGCTCCAGGCTCTGAGCCATCAGCCCAGAGCCTGACGCAGGGCTCAAACTCACGGACCGCGAGATCGTGACCTGGCTGAAGTCGGACGCTTAACCGACTGCGCCACCCAGGCGCCCCATACCACATTCATTTCTTAAACCTTCCTAACAGGGGCAGCAGGCCTATGTGGGTTGTACTTTGCACAGAGTGCCTGGTCAAAGGGGCAAGGGAGTACTGAAATACAGCTGTCACTCTGCTTTTAAAAGCCATCTTTGGGGCGCCTAGGTGGCGCAGTCGGTTAAGCGTCCGACTTCAGCCAGGTCAGGATCTCGCGGTCCGTGAGTTCGAGCCCCGCGTCGGGCTCTGGGCTGCGGAGCCTGGAGCCTGTTTCTGATTCTGTGTCTCCCTCTCTCTCTGCCCCTCCCCCGTTCATGCTCTGTCTCTCTCTGTCCCCAAAATAAATAAAAACGTTGAAAAAAAAATTGAAAAAAAAAAGCCATCTTTCCAGGAGCTACCTGGAGGATGAGATGTCTTTTCCTTATTGATACAAAGGTCTTAAAAGGGCTAGTGGCAGCCTTGGGGTACAATACTATAGATAACGTGATTCTATTTCATTCTACGTATAAAACCAAAAGAAAAAGCCTATTATTTAGACCAGATGGGGTTTCAGCCAACTTAATCTGAGTTGGGTCATAGGCTTGGTTGTGCCTCCTGGCTGGTTTTCCTTTCATATAAAACAACAACAAAAAAAATTTTTTTAATGTTTATTTTTGAGAGGGGGGGAGGGTAGAGAGGCAGAGAGAGAGACACAGAACCCAAGCAGGCTCCAGGCTCTGAGCTGTCAGCACAGAGCCCGACGCGGGGCTCGAACTCACAGACCACAAGATCATGACCTGAGCTGAAGTTGGACGCTTTACTGACTGAACCATCCAGGCGCCCCTCATATAAAACTTTTTAAATCCTTGCCATTCACAGAATGCAACCTAATGCTTCTGAAATGATGCCTTTTTTTTTTTTTGAGTTTCATTCACCCATCCTTTTTTAAAGCATTTTAAAAAATATTTATTTTGAGAGAGAGAATGAATGAGTGAGCAGAGGATGTATAGAGAGAGTGAGAGAGAAAATCCCAAGCAGGCTCATCACTGTCAGCACAGAGCCTGATGTGGGGCTTGATCTCATGCACCAGGAGATCATGATCTGTGCAAAGATCAAGAGTCCGGATGCTTAACCGACTGAGCCACCCAAGTGCCCTTATTTGGCCACCTTACAGAACCCAGTTTCTTCTTATTATAATATATTGAGCTGGATTGTTCATTTGTTGCAAATTGATTTTGCCTCATTAATTTGTTATAATTAATAAGCTCATTGAAAGTTTTCACCTTTCATAAGACAGGGAGGGAGTCTATGCAATTAGTTTTCTTT